GAAGCTGAAAGGGGGTTAACCCCGTAGACTCGTGAGGGGTGGCCCGGTGGATCTCGACGATCTGATATACGATTTCAGGCCAAGGACGTGTGTCGCTGTCTCTTATACACATCTAGATGTGTATAAGAGACAGGGGAGGCGCGGGAGGGAGCGATGCGGGGGACAGAGAGGAAGAAGCTTTTGCATGTACGACGCCGTAACAAAAAAAAGAAAAAGGCACCGAAACGGTTACAGCTTGCTTCTATCCCAATTCAAAAATTGAAATCACATATCCGCTGTCTCTTATACACATCTAGATGTGTATAAGAGACAGTGCATGCACGGCGCCGTCAACAAAAAAAAGAAAAAGGCACCGAAACGGTGACAGCTTGCTTCTATCCCAATTCAAAAATTGAAATCACCATATTCGCGCACGAAAAATAACGATGCAGGAAAAAAAAATCCTACTCCTATTCGTATTTACGCAAAATTCCGAGAGTTTTCCCCGATGAGCCCAAGAACATTTACACACCCAAAAAGGACACGTCGAAGTTCCGCTTATCCCGGAGTTCCCAACTACCGGGCCCAATTCCCAGCGCGCTTGCTAAGGCGTGCGCAATTTCCCATGTATTTCCCAACTTTGCAAAAGGAAAAACAGAACTCAGCAGTCGAAAGAGCTCTAAACAAAAAAAAGGAAAATGCAACACCCGAAAGCAAGAAATCAAGGGTTTTTCCTGGGGTTGGTAGGATACAAGCAAAAGAAAGGGTACGAAAGATAGCACGGGTTCGTGAAGTGGTTCGTCACATATGTGACGCGCAGGGGGTTCCAAAATTATGCGATCTCCTGATTGCATGTCATGGAGAAAAAAAAGAGGGGAGAACAGAGTGATGCATGAGGAACCAAACGTATCAACAGAGCAAAAGGAAGTACAAGGAACGATAACTTGAGCAGCGGATGAGATGACGACAACATCTGTGGCAAAATCTTTGCAGCCCTGTCATATGCAATCCTCTGCCTCGTGGAGATCGTCCCGGTGACGCTATCATGGTCCACCCGATCTCCGTGTGCTCTGCACCCCTGCTCGTTGCATTCCGTCGAATCAACGCGTAGGTTGACGTCATCGTCGATGGCATGATCTTCGCGAAGCTTACTGATTCGTGCCGATGAAGGGAGGAGAGAAAGAAAAAAAAAGGGGGGGGGGGGGGGGAAAGTGAATGGGATCTACCACAGCCTAGTGGGAATGGGCCAGTAGAGGCGGTACATGCCGGGGATCTCGCGGGGATGACGGGGAGGGAGTGGGGGTAGGAAGTGGTTCATCTCTTCCATGGTCACCGGGAGC